ATGTGATTGGATGCATATCGAGGTTCATATGAAATTTTAAAGTGTTAATCGTAGGTGGCTGGCATTCGCAATAAACAATCAATTTTATTCTGTGACAGTTGTCATTAACCATCATCGGGAGCTTATGGAGACAGGATCAGTAGTTGTAAAAAAATCACAATTTAAAGAAATTTAATTTTAATTTAAAGAAATCACAATTTAAACATTAACAATTAATAAGAAAATGTGAATATCAAAATAAGGTACAATAAACTTGGAAATTAATAACAAAATTAATGGTATTTCATGATTAAATAATTTAATTATAAAAAGTTTGTTAAAATCACACTGGTCAGTTCCGTAAAACGTGTTCAAAGTGAGAACCGTTTTGTTCAACACAAGCCTGCAAACGTGACACGAAATTTTGACGTATTTTCGTGTGAATGTTGGGAGTCTGTCTAATTTCTTCAGCCGCAGCAAGGATACGGCATGGTACGGCATAGACGCGATCCTTCATGGCCCCCCAGAAAAAAAAGTCCATGGCATTTAGATCGAGAGAACGGGGCCATGTTACATGAGGAGAATTGTTACCTATCCATCACCCTTGGAAATTTTCATTCAACTACTTAGTTACGAAGTGCCCCCGATGTGGTGGGGCACCATCGTGCGTAAAGAACAAATTGCGTCTAATACCGAGAGGAACATCTTCCATAAGAAGCGGTAGTTCATGCTCCAAAAAATTAAGGTAACTTTCAGCATTTAATCGTGGAGGAAATATATGGACCGATGATGCAATCTCCGACAATTCCAGCCCAGCAATTAATTGCAAATTTTTGCGAACGAGTCTGCCTTAAGACAAATGGATTTGCCATAGCCCAATAATGAAGATTGTGCAAATTTATTAGGCCATCTTTTGTAAAGCTCGCCTCATCGGTAAAGAAAAATTTTCGAAAAGATCCCGGATTTAAGTTGTAACGTTGAAGAGCCCCATAAGCTAAAATTTCTTCTTCGTGGCAAATCTTCTACTTTAAGTTCCTGGGCCTTTTGAAAGTGAAAAAGTTTCAACAGTTGTCGTTCGATAAAGCGGTGTATTCTTGTTCTGGGAATCTCAAGTTGAGATGACGCGCGTCTTATGCTTATTTCGGGATTCTCTGCAATTAAATTTAAGATAATTTCTTCCTGTTCGGGAGTTAATAAATAACTTCTCCCTGAATTAGGTTTTTTCACAACTACGGATCCTGTCTCCATTGGCTGCCGATGTACTCGTGCAAACATTGAATGGTATGAATTATATGAATGGTAAACATTGAGTATGCGTGCAGGAAATCGCTCGGCGTACAATCTGCATGCGAGACGTGAATTTCCACGAGCCTCCCCGTAAATTAGGTGCATTTGTACCTTTTCTTGGACAGAAAATCTCACCATTTTTTCGGGAACAATGATTATTGACAACTAATGGTAACACTTTGACACTGGTTAATGACAACTGTCACAGAATACAATTGATTGTTTATTGCGAATGCCAGCCACCTACGATTAACACTTTTAAAATTTCATATGAACCTCGATAGCATCCAATCACATTTAGCCATTTTTTCGAAAAACGCTGCTTTTTTCGAAAAAATTTTAAGAGACAAAAAAGTTTTTAAATTCCCTGGAGATTCTAAGGGGCTAGCTACTAATTTTTTAAAAAATTAAATATGCAACTAAAGTTCGGTGGCCCCAAAACCAATGGGGGTATATATAGGTATCCTTGCTCATTCAATGGTCCGTTTGTTTCAAACAGATATAATTCCTTTAAAAAAAATTACACCTACGTATTAATTTTAAATCTGAAATATTAGTTAGTGTTTGCAAAAAAATGGATGAATATTCAAGATTTTCTTATCATTCAACTGAGATTTTCGGTAAAACCATACCCTATATCGATTTTCAACAAGTATACCTGTTTTATGTAAAATTGTCCACGGAATCTAAAAATGAATCCAAAATGATTATTAGGTCATTGGCGTAGAAGTAGGGGTAAAAAAATCCCGCTTTACTACCCACTCTTACACCACTGACCTACAAAAATTTGTAAATTTTACAGTAAATTATGTACATGTGTAAATGTTAACACTACCTACACCAAATTTGAATCAATTTGTTATAAGCATAGCAAAGATTTCATAAATAATATGGTTTTAAAAACTAACCAGTATGGCCCTGTACAGTGAAAACGGTGAGACTTGGACCCTTGCTTTATAAGGCAATTCTGAATTATTTATAGAATTCTATTTATGGTTAAAGTTTGATTCACTCGAACTGAAACACCCTGTATTGTCAAAGTAAAAATTGAAGTAATTATTTTAACTCTTGAGTTACTGTTGTTAAAATTTCATACATCGCGAAAAATTTCATAATCCTGCTTCTGATGAAAATTTAATTGAAGATAGATTTTCTTTTATAAATCGGTTAAGATAAATATCTTCTAAAAATTAATAAAGCATCAATATAATATTTTAGAACCTCTATTCAAAGCCGACCTTACATTTAAGGAATGTAAAGTTGAGTTTTGGTTCATCAATCCAATTTGTGCGGTCTAAAATTCTGGACTAACTTTGATAACTTGATTTTCTTTATGTTCCACCACAAGAAACAAAAAATGCTCTCAACAAGATGTGTGTATCTGTAATTTTACTATACATAAATCATTTAGGTTTTAAATAAATATGAATTCATTCATCATAAAATAAAAATTTGTATGAATGCANTCTGTGTTGTTGTCAAGCTTTCGGAAATGTTTATTTCCTTTCTCAAGACATCTATAAAAAATGACAAAAATGCTTAGAATAATAAGTTATAAAAGCTTATTATATACTTACAAACGTGAGATTATAATATAAAAACCATCAAAAAAGAGAGATTCAAGAACATTGTTGTTAAAATTTTATCAACTTCAGTAGATTAAAAACAATTGTAACTATAGTCAACATTTAAAAAAAAAACAATTTTTCAGTGAATTTTTAACATTTAACAACTAATACAGTAAAAGGAGCCATGCCTTTGAAATGTGAATATTTTTTTATATCTTTATCAGAACAAGTTTTTTTGAAAACAATCTACTAATATTCAAACTGGTAACAGCCAATGAGGTTAAAGAACAACATACAGGGACAATTAGCATTGCCAACAACATTTCTGGTTGTAATGAGGCTCGTGGTCTAATTCTGAGTCAATGTTTTCACAACGTGCTTATTAGAAGAATTATGTGGATACGCCACGCCTTTCGCGCATTTCGCGGCTCATGAGATTTTGAAACTACTCTACCTGTGATGTTGGCTAACTTCAATGTAATTCTCGTATAGTAAGTAATTTTTTAATTGGCTATTTTATAAGAAAATTTTAACTTGTATCCTATTGTGGTTTTTTCCTGATGAAGGAATAGGAATATAATATATAATATAATATATATATAATAATAATTCNTATATATATATATATATATATATATATATATATATATATATATATATATATATATATATATATATATATATATATATATATATATATATATATATATATATATATATATATATATATATATATATATATATATATATATATATATATATATATATATATATATATATATATATATATATATATATATATATATATATATATATATATATATATATATATATATATATATATATATATATATATATATATATATATATATATATATATATATATATAT